GATGAGGGTGTCAGTGGAGGGGGACTGGTCGGGCCTGCGGGACAGGAAGAAGCGGAGGGCCTTAAGGTCATCTGCATGGGGAATGCAGGTGTAGAGGGACTGGACATCCATGGTAAAGATGAGGTGTTGGGGACCGGGGAATTGGAAGTTCTGGAGGAGGTGGAGGACGTGGGTGGTGTCACGGACATAGGTAGGGAGTTCCTGGACCAAGGGGGAGAAAATGGATTTGTTTATTTATACTTAAACCAATCTGAATAAAACAATAAACTACACTCTGACTTTCATGCATATGTGCCAGACATGCGCACACACACTTGATGCTCACATACCCACAAATACAGATCATATTGTGGGGCAGGTTAGGTTGGCAAAATTAAAACCAATAAAAATTCGGAATATGTAGCCTGCAGTTTGGTGACTCAGTTTTTTTATTCGTTCATGGGATGAGGGCATTGCTGACTAGGCAGCGTTTATTACCCATCGGGCAGTTAAAAGTCAACCGTGTTGCTGTGGGTCTGGAGTCACATGTAGCCAGACCAGGTAAGGACAGCAGTTTCCTTCCCTGAAGGACATTAGGGAACCAGAGGGATTTTTCCCCAACAGTTGACAATAGATTCTCAGTCATCATTAGACTCTTTATTCCAGATATTTATTGAATTCAAATTCCAACATCTGCTGTGGCAGGATTCAAACCCAGGTGCCCGGGATGTTGTCTGGGTCTCTGGATTAACAGCCTAGTGATAATACCATTAGATCATCACCTTCCCTTAGCTTCAGGCTGAGTTCATTTTGGTTTTGCAACTATCCTTCAGCAATCCTGATACTTTTGATTTCAAGACCTAGATGGCTAATTTTGTTGTTCTTCAGGGGAAGATGATATTGGGTTGAATTCTTTTCAGAAGTCACTGTCTGTAACAGTGGTGTCCCTGGATGACCATAGTCAGCCAATGGAACTCGAAGCTTCCCAGGTGGGTAGGATAGAGAGAGAGGGAGACAGGAGGGACTCAACTCTCTATCTCAGCTGCCTGTCTTAAGTTCTGCAAGAATACAGTTGCGTAACATACAAAGGTTGACTTGCCAGTTGACCTTCCCTCTCCAACTACCCAGGAGGATCCAAATAAGGCTCTTGTCAGTGTGTTCTAAGGCTAACGTAATTAGATGGTACTTGGGAAGCTCTTAGCCAGGGTCCCATTAGGCCAACCATTAGGCTTCATGATACATCTCCAACAGTTCAATACCTCTGGTAATTGTCTTCATGCCTTGTTAGTGGGTCAGGAGATGAGAGTTCATCGCATTTCCCAGGAAATCATTTTCTTTGGTTGGTTTTGTGTCTCCAGTCCAATGGGTTGGAATGTAGAATGCACAGCAATGCAAGTTAAAGTAACAGTCTTTGGCTGTGATCTCAACTCTCTTCTGTATCTGCATTCCTAAATAGTTTCTGCATTCCTAAATAGTTTCTGCTTTTAAAATTCATGTTTCCAAACCATTGGATTAAAAAACATAAAACATGTCTTCATGACACTAGGATTAAGAAACCATAAAATTGACTCTTAGGAAATTAAAAGTCACAATTCTTACTCAGCCATAACATTTTTTTAATGAATATTAGGCTGAAGAACAGCCACCAAACTGCCTGCAGATCCTGAATGGCTCACTGAATCACTATCAAGGGAGAGACTGGAATCCCCAGGGAGAGAATGAAGGAGCAAATCCGGGCAGTTGTGTCTACGTAAGTATGAAAATACGTCACTCACGAAGCCTTTCCTTTAATGTAGTGGGCTACAAACACACTAGCAAACAGAATGGGGAGGAAGATAAGCCCCAGGGAATATAAGGTTCTATTTTCCAAGGGAAAAGACAAGTTTCCTGAATATATGCAGGGGTTCCCCTGATACCTTGCCATAAATTCGGCTGTGTGCAGTTTTTCTCTGAAGGGTCCACTAATCATTTGCAAAATTTACAGCAGGACCGAAATTGTGAACAGGGTCCAGGTTATGTCAGGGCCAAAGGAATGACAAGGGCCAAATTATGACAGGAGATCAGGTTCACTCCCAGCAAACCTCAGACAACAATCAGGAATTATTGGAAACCTCCCACTTATGTGTGTACATTTTCCAATAGTGTGGTTTGTGTCATCACAATAGAATGGGTAATCAAGAGCTGGGAAAATCCAGGCAGAAATCATTTATTCTGGTTTTCTCCTGGTCTGTGAAATTCATGAATGAATTTTAATCCTAAAATGCACTTTGGTTAATTTAAACATTATGTATCAAAATGGTTTTAAATTCAGTGGGACCAAGCATAGACTCTGAGACCGTTTTGTAGAGCTTCTGCGCTCTGTATGCAACAAATGGCTTTACGGTCGCCAACCATTTCAACTCCCTCTCCCTCGGTGACATGTCCATCCTGGGCCTCCTCCAGTGTCACAATGACACCACATGCAAACTGGAGGAATAGCAGCTCATATTCCGCCTCGGGAGCCTACAGCCCGATGGCCTAAACATGGAATTCACCAGTTTTAAAATCTGCCCACCCCCAGCCTCATCCCATGTCCAACCCTCTCTCTCATCCCCGCCTCCTTGACCTGACAAAACCTGTCCATATTCTCTCCCACCTATCTGCCTCTCCCACTTCAGTGAGCAATCCCCACCACTCCCTCCCTCCACTCACCTATCACTATCCCACATACCTTTCCCCGCCCCACCCCTCCTCTCTCTATTTATTTCCTAGCTCCCTGCCCCCTCCCCATTTTTGAAGAAGGGTCCCGACCCGAAACGTCAACTTTCCTGCTCCCCTGATGCTGCCTGGCCTGCTGTGTTCCTCCAGCTCCACACTGTGTTGTCTCTGACTCCACCATCTGCAGTTCTTGCTGTCTCTTAAATTTGGACCGGCTGAGCTTCCCACTTGGAATTCTATTGCATGTTTCCATTTACTGTGTGTGGAAGAAGTTTCACATGTAATATAGATTATTTTTACATCCGTTGTCCACATTTTGTGGACATTTGTGAAATTCTGTTTGTTTTTCCTTCATAAATCATGGAAATAGTAAATGTTTACGACAAGACAAATATGCAGCCAACAGAAGAACTAACAAGACTTAAACACAGCTTAAAACAATCCATTACTAAATTCATTTTTATTTCCAATTATTGTAGGAAGGAGATCTCCAAGAGCTCCCCTCTTGCCTTGTCAGTGCTGAAACAGGAAAAGCAGCAATTGAGACCCAAATGGCTGACCTCCACTCTGAACTATTCCAAACTAAATGTGAGAGCTTTGGATTGAAAAAGCAATACCTCGAGTCTGAATCACAGCTAACTGCTAATAGAAATGTAAGACCAAGTAGAGATATTTGTATTACCATATCCATTCAAGAAATTAGTTACCATGAATCTAGCTCAACACTTAGAATCATTGAGCTGTACAGCATGGAAACAGATTCTTTGTTACAACTTGTCCATGCCGACTAGATATCCTAAATTAGTCCCATTTGCCAGCATTTGGCCCATATCCCTCAAAACCCCTCCTATTCATATACCCATCCAGATGCCTTTTAAATGTTGTAATTGTGCCAGCCTCCACCACTTCCTCTGGCAGCTTGTTCCACACACGCACCACCTCTGTTTGAAAAAGTTGCCCCTTAGGCTCCTTTTAAATCTTTTCCCTGTCACCTTAAACCTATGCCCTCTAGTTTTGAATCCCACCCTGGGGAAAAGACCTTGGCTATTCACCCTATCCATGCCCCCCGTGATTCTATAAACCTCTATAAGGTCACCTGTCGGCCTCCGACACTCCAGGGAAAATAGCCCCAATCTATTCCGCCTCTCCCTGTAGCTCAAACCCTCCAAACCTGGCAACATCCTTGCAAATCTTTTCTGAACCCTCCCAAGTTTTGCAATATCCTTCCAATATCAGGGAGACCAGATTTGAACACAGTATTCCAAAAATGGTCTTACCAATGTCCTGTACAGCCACAACATGACCTCCCAACTCCTATACTCAATGTACTGACCAATTAGGCAAGCGTACCAAATGACTTCTTCACTATCCTGTCTGCCTGGGATTCCACTTTCAAGAAACTATGAACCTGCACTCCAAGGTCTCTTTGTTTAGCAACATACCCAGGACCTTACCATTAAGTGTATAAGTTCTGCCCTGATTTGCCTTTCCAAAATACAGCACCTCACATTTATCTACTAACTCCACCCATCCAAGTGAATGTAGGCAAGGTGTAATGGAGCACCAATGGGAGCAGAAATCAGCTCAGCCAAGTTTCACACTATTTTTGGCCTCAATCCATTTCTAGCCAAGATCTGGGTGGATGGTGGCAGTTCCATTTGTATTACTTTCTAGCTGCATTGGAAGCTTTACTAGACAGTTAACAGGAATAAAGGGGTGGCCTTGGCAGGATGCAATGAGTAGATTAGGTCAATACTCAATGATGCTTGACAAACAAGAAGTGATCTTATTGAAACATGTGAGAATCTGAGGGGGCCTGACAAAGTTAATGCTGTGAGGATGTGGGAGGATCTAGAATGAGGTAGCACAAAATAAGGAATCTCCCATGGAAGATTGAGATGTGGAGGAACCTCTTCTCCCAGGGGAAATTTCTAACCCAGACAACATAGATTGTAAGAGCAGGGTGGTTATGCTAGAACTGTACAAAATGTTAACTAGGTCGCAGCTCAAGCACTACAGTTATGGCCATGGTATTACAAGAAGATATGATTGTGCTAGAGACTGTAAGGAGTGGGCATACGAGAATGTTACAAAGTCTGGGAACCTTTGGGCTATGAGGAAAGCCGACGGGGTCATAAAATTGAGATGTATTAAATAACTAGCATCCTGGATGGAGTAGTTAGGAAGGGGCCTGTTTTTGTTAACTCTTCTGGTCAGCAAACACAGAATGGGCTGAGTGGCCTCCTTCTCTGCAAAAACAGTCTTTGATTTAGTATAATTTGGAGAAGGCGTGGTGAGGGAGCAGTGATACAGAGCAAAGAATGTAATTGAGATGAACAATGATTTAAATGTTGGGGGGATTGGTGGTCAGGGTCAAGCAACTAAATAGTGTAGTATTACTGTTTGTTTATTTGTGCACATCTTGCTGGCTGTGGTGGGGAGATGGTCACTGAAATTCATTGGTCTTCATTCTTCATTGGAAGGGGTGTTGCTGCTCATTGCCTTCTCATTCCATTTGAGATGGTGATAGCCCTGGAGGCTTGATGACACACACATACAAATGTTTGTTCTAGTCCTTTAAGTTTATTCTGATTTTGGTACTTTCTGATAGCTCTGCCAGCTGAGGACTAGATCATGATTTTTAGTCCACTATAAGCACCTATGTGTGGATACCTTTTTGATTGTTTCTGTAGTCATTGCTCCTTTGACTGTACCTAATGGGTTTGAGATGCTTGCTCCCTGTGCGGTTGAGAGTCGGGGCTGTAGGGAGGATGAGCAAACTGACCGTAGCACCATGGTACAGGGACCATTCAATAGGGAGCGTCAAAAAGAGTTCTAATCAGGGATGATATTGTCAGGGGAATAGACACTGTTCTCTGTGGCCAGGATCGAGAATCTCAAGGGCTGTGTGTGCCTACCTGGTGCCTGGGTTCAGGACATCACATCTGGCCTGCAGAGAAACTTGGAGTGGGAGGAGAAATATCAAGTTGTCATGATCCACGTAGGTACCAACAGTATAGGTAGAAAGTGGAAAGAGTTTCTGCTGAGGGAATATGAACAGCTAGGGGCTAAATTGAAAAGCCGAGCCAGAAAGATAATAATCTCTGGATTATTACCTGAGACATGAGCAAATTGGCACAAGGTCAACACGATTAAAGAGGTAAATGCTCAAAGATTGATGTTGGAGAAAAGGGTTTGAATTCATGGGACATTGGCATCAGTACAGGGATGGAGGGAGCTGTTCCGATGGGATGGGCTCTACCTGAATCATGGTAGGACCAGAGTCCTAGCAAGTCTCATAACTCGGGCTATGGATAGTGGGTTCAGTTGCGGGGAAAACTATGGAAAAAGCTAAAGGGGGGGAGACATTATTTAGTTTCCAGAACAGTAATGGGACAGACAATATGGAAAGGGTCTGGAATCTAAGTTCAGGCACAGCAGCTGAGGGACAACCATGAGAAAGGGATGGGGCAGGAAGTCAATGCAAGACTGCAGGTGTTGTAGTTAAATGTATGCAGTGTACAAAGCAAGATAAATGAGCTTATACCTCAGGTATGATGTTGTGGGTATCACAGAGACGTGGTTGCAAGGGGATGAGGGCTGGACACTAAGGATACACGCCCTATCAAAAGGACGGGCAAATGGGTGGAGGGGACAGGATTGCCTTGTTAGTAAGAAATGAAATTAAATCGATAGCAAGAAGCGATACAGGGTTGTCAAGTGTAGAATCTGTGTTGGTAGAATTGAGGAACCACAAAGGATAAAAAGACCCTGATAGGAGTTATGTACAGGCCTCCTATCAGTAGTCAGGGTGGAGACAGAAAATACATCTGGAGGTAGAAAGGGCATGTAAGAAAGGCACTACCAAAATAATCATGGGGGACTTCAGTATGCAGGTGAACTGGGAAAATCAGATTGTTTACAGATCCCAAGAAAAGGAATTTGTGGAATATCTAGGAGATGGATTTATTGGAGGAGCTTGTTGTAGAGCCTACTAGGGAATAGCCAGTTCTGGATTTGGTGATGTATAATGAGGCATTCTTGATTAGAGAGCTTAAGGTGAAGGAACCCTGTGGGGCAGTGACCATGATATGACAGATTTCACTCTGCACTTAAGAAGGATAAGCTAGAATCAGATGTAACGGTATTGCAATTGAGGAAAGGCAACTACAAAGACATGAGGGAGGAGCTGACCAGAGTTAATTGGAAGTGGAGCCTAGCAGGGAAGACAGTGGAACTGCGAATGGCAATTCTGGGAATAATTCAGGAGGCACAGCAGAAATTCATCCCCAAGAAAGAAGAAACATACTAAGTGGAGGACGGTACAACCATGGCTGATAAGGGAAGTCAGAGACAGCATAAAAGCAGAAGAAATGTGGCGAGCATCAGTGGGAACTCAGAGGATTAGGAAGCATTGAAAAACCAGCAAAGGACAACTAAAAAAACAATAAGCAAGGAGAAGATGAAATGTGAGGGTAAGTTAGCTAGTAATATAAAAGAAGATTACAGGAGTGTTTTAAGATATATATCTATAGATGTATAGATATATATATATTATATATATATATAAGAGAGAGAAAGAGGGCATATTAATCCACTAGAAAATGAGACCGGAGAAGTAGAAATGGGGAGTGAAGAAATGGCAAAGGAACTGAATAGGTACTTTGCATCAGTCTTCATGGTGGAAAACACCAGTAGCCTACCTGAACTTCAAGAGAGTCAGGGGGCAGAGATGATTGTAGTAGCCATCAGTCAGGAGAAGGTGCTGGGGAAGCTGAAAGGTTTGAAGGTGGATAAATCACCTGGACCAGATGGACTTACCACCAGAATTCTGAAGGACATAGCTGAGGAGATTGAAGAGGCATTAGTGGTGATCTTTGAGGAATCACTGGAGTCAGGGAGGCATCACAGAGGACTGGAAAATGGCTAATGTAACACCACTGTTTAAGAAGGGTTTGAGGCAGAAGATGGGAAATTATAGCCAATTACCCTGACCTTGGTTGTTGGTAATATTTTATTCAGGATGAGATTGCAGAGTGTTTTGAAGGTAAAATAGGGCTGAGTCAGCCCTATTTCGTTTGGCAGGTCATGCCTGACAAATCTGTTAGAATTCTTTGAAAAATAACAAACAAGTTAGGCAAAGGAGAGCCACTGGATGTGATCTATTTGGATTTCCAGAAGGCCTTTGACAAGATGCTGCCCAACAGGCCGCTAAATAAGTTAAGAGCTCATGGTATTGGGGCAAGGTACTGGCATGGAAAGAGGATTGGCTGATTGGCAGAAGACAGATAGTGGAGATAAAGGGGTCTTTTTCAGGATGGCAGCCAGTGATTAGTGGAGTTCCAGAGGGGTTTGTGTTGGGACCACAACTATTCACTTTATACATTGATGATCTGGACAAAGGAACTGAGGACATTGTTACCTTTGTTAAATTTTCAGATGACACAACGATAGATGGATGGGCAGGTAGTCATTGAGGAAGTGGAGAGGCTGCAGAGGGACTTGGACAAGCTTGGAGAGTGGGAAAAGAAGTGACAGATGGAGTACAATGTAGGAAAGTGTGAAGTTATGCACTTGGTAGGCAGAATAGAGGCAAAGACTAATTTCTAAATGGGGAAAGGCTTCAGAAATTTGAAGCACGAAGTTACTTGGGAATTGTAGTTCAGGATTCTCTAAGATCAGGGTTCAGTTGGTAGTTAGGAAGACAACTACAATGTTAACATTCATTTTGAGTATGCTAGAATACAAGAGCAGGGATATACTGCTAAGGCTGTATAAAGCTCTGGTTAGACCGCATTTGGAATAGTACGAGCTGTTTGGGTTTTGTGTCTATCGCCATGCTGATATTGGAGGAATCCAGGGGAGGTTTGAAAGAATAATTCCCAAGATGAAAAGCTTGTCATATGAAGAGTAGTTGAAAACTCTGGGTCTGTACTTGAGGTTAGAAGGATGAGGGGAGATCTCATTGGAAGTTACAGAATACTGAGAGGCCTGGATGGAGTGGACATGGAGAAGGTGTTTCCACTAGTAGTGGAGACTAACACCCAAGGATACAGCCTCAGAGTTAAGGCTAGATCCTTGAGAACTGAAACAAGGAGGAATTTCTTCAGCCAGAGTGTGGTGAATCTATGGAACTCATTGCTGCAGAAGGCTGTGGAGGCAACGTCATTGAGTGTATTTAAGACAGAGATAAAGTAGGCTCTTGATTAGTAAGGGGGTCAAAGGTTACATGGAGAAGGCGGGAGAATGGGGTTAATAAACCAACAGCCATGATCAGTGGCAGAGCAGACTCGATGAGCCGATTGGCCTAATTCTCCTATATCTTATGGTCTTATGGAAACTGTGTATAACATGGTGTGAATTAGAGACTTGAGAAATATGTAGAGTCTCTTCATATAAATGTGCAGAAACATCTTTCCATTAGACAGCAGCCTGTTCCATAGAGTATAATTATGTATGCTTTTGTTTGCAGACGGCTGTGGGAATAGGCACCTGAGCTTATTCTACATTTTTAGAAAAACTTTGTGCATAAAATGCCTGTTAAGCATTGCTTATCCCACTTACTTCAAATTGGGAAAGAAGTAAAGCAAGAGTGGTGTTAATTTACTATCACCCAAAGGGTAGCACGGGTCTGGAACTCACTGCCTGAAAGAGTGACAGAGGAAGATACTCCTGTCACATTTAAAAAGCTCTTGGATATGGACTTGAAATGCTACAATATACATTGTGGATCAAGAGCTGCAAACTGTCTCTTTTTTGGCTAGCAAAAATGAAATGGGCCAAATGGCCCCTATCTCTGCTGTAAATGTTCAATGCTTTTACATTTGCAATTTACATTTCCACACACAGGTAAAATTTACCCCAGTCTGAATTTCAATCAGTCTGAAGGCTTTAGTCATAGTAGCTTATCCTACTGATTCCTGATTGGCTTGTACCTTACTAGCTAATTGAATTGGCAAGACTGCAATGAAATCTAAATATTGCAGCAATAGTGAAATTAAGTCAAACTTCAAGACTCTCATCCAATGGAGAACAAATGGGTACTTCAGCAACATCGAGGGTAACATCTCTTCACTGTATTTCTACTACACTGTAACAATGTGATAACAATGGTAAGAAGGAGCTATTAATTTAGTGTCATCTCCAAAATGCACACGCAAACATCAATTTCTCTGTATGACAGATAAACGAAAGCCTTTTGTTGGAAATAACAAGATTGAAACAAAGCTTGCAGGCTTCAGAACAACAAATCCTGAAACTGCAGAGCGAAAAGACAATTTTAACTTCACGTCTGAAGACCCTAGAATGTGAACGGCAACAGATATTCAATCAAAAAGAACTTTTGCTGAAAACATTGAAAAGATTGAAATGTCACAAGCATGAAGATTCTTTGTTCCAAATTAATTCTGATGACAGGTAATGTTACTCACGTTGGTCATTGAGTGGGGAACAAAGAGTTATAGTCTCAGGCTTCTCATTGAAAGGGAATGTCAGTAGGATTTTTTTCATGTAGAGGCTTCTTAGACAAAAGAACATTTTAACATAGTGACTACTGAAGCAGAGTCTATAACATCACTTCAAAGGGAATTGGCTCAAGCAGAAAAGAAAAGGACACAGGGAAATGGGATTTGAGTGGGTAACTCTGACACAGTCAATGAGGCAAATAATCTCTTTCTGTTCTGCTGTTTGAATTCTGCACTTATTCAGCCTTTTTCTCATGAATGTAAAGCTATTTTGAAACCTCTGGTTTCCATCCTGAAAATGATTGAGTAATTATGCAGCACATATTAAACTCATATCATTTAAGGAAGTAACAATTAATTCTAACATTCTGTAGTGTTTATGCTATACAGCTTGCTGTGCATCAAATTGTACTTCCTCATCCTAAGCAAATCCAAAGTCAGGAGGAGACAAGTGCATTGTGTGCAATCTCTAAATGCTGGATAATATTCCCTTGCATTGAAAAGGGCAGCAGAATGTTGTTATTGTTGATCTTAAGCTTCCACAGTTCATGATGTCCAAATCCAGATTCTAATTGATTAATACCAACTGCCTATGTGTTCTCATGATGTGGATGACAGTGGGGAACATTTTTTTTGATGCCCATCTAAATAATGGAATGGTGCCATCTTGAGAACCAGTCATTTCTACACCCAAATAATTAATGCAACCACAGCAAAGGATTTTAAGGGGTGCTCCTCCCTCTGTTAATTTTTGAATTAATAACAAAGGTATAAATGCCAAGGATGGGGCTGAGGCTTTTGAAAATCACCGTCAGTTCACTTATATCTGTCCACCTGTGCTTGCTGTGGGGAAGGGGTACGGACTTGAGGCTGTTGTTCTCAACTTAGCAACGTTATGCTCTTTTCATCAAAGCAAAGGGATTGGGGAGGGAAAGAGGGGATAAGGTGCACATTGTGGCTAAGTCCCAGCCTGCAAGAGTAAATTTAAAAATATAGTAAAATTAATTACATTAAAATAATTAAACTTCATTTCAGAAAGTGCTAGTTCAATTGAAAGTACACAAAACTGTAAAAAACTAAAATGAAGTAAAACCAACTTTAAGTAACAGCATTATGTAGGTTACTTAACTGATCCCAAGCTGTACAGCAGGCCAAGCAGCATCAGAGTAGCAGGAAGGCTGACGTTTCGGGCCTAGACCGTTCTTCAGAAATGGGGGAGGGGAAGGGGATTCTGAAATAAATAGGGAGAGAGGGGGAGGCGGATAGAAGATGGATAGATGAGAAGATAGGTGGAGAGGAGATAGACAGGTCAAAGAGGTGGGGATGGAGCCAGTAAAGGTGAGTGTGGGTGGGGAGGTAGGGAGGAGATAGGTCAGTCCAGGGAGGACGGACAGGTCAAGGGGGCAGGATGAGGTTAGTAGGTAGGAGCTGGGGGTGGGGCTTGAGGTGGGAGGAGGGGATAGGTGGGAGGAAGGACAGGTTAGGGAGGCAGGGACGAGCTGGGCTGGTTTTGGGATGCGGTAGGGGGAGGGGAGATTTTGATGCTTGTGAAGTCCACATTGATACCATTGGGCTGCAGGGTTCCCAAGCAGAATATGAGTTGCTGTTCCTGCAACCTTCGGGTGGCATCATTGTGGCACTGCAGGAGGCCCAGGATGGACATGTCGTCTGCGGAATGGGAGGGGGAATTGAAATGGTTTGCGACTGGGAGGTGCAGTTGTTTAGTGCGAACCGAGCGTAGGTGTTCTGCAAAGCGGTCCCCAAGCCTCCGCTTGGTTTCCCCGATGTAGAGGAGGCCACA